TGACTTCCCATTTGTGGGTGAAGGTAGTCAAGCGCCCACCAATAGGGCCAACCTCGAGCGAGTCACTGGTACCTACGAAAGGACTGGTTGTTGGCGCCACCAAAAGGCCGCCGGGCCTGGGTCTGCTGTTGGTGCTGGTGCCTATCTCTGTCTCTAGTATTGGCTCTGTCCTGAAACCTGAGACTGAGAAAAGGATCTATTAGATAAAGGGGTATAGGGAAGGGGGGAGTACCCTGAAACCCCAACACGAAAGGGCTGCCTTCGAGGATACAGTTGTTGCCTCCTAGCGGTCAAAGGGAGCACCTTTCGCTTATCCCTTGTCTCAATCAGTATAAGGTCTAGTGCCGCTCCAAAGAGGGAACCGCCCTTGAAGAGGGTAGAAGCAAGGCGCCATTTAGAGCATATGTCCACCTGCCAGTGGCATAGCCATAAGAGGCGATGAGACGCTATGTTGGATGCCACAGCTCGGGATGTGAACTTGGCCGCATTGAGCGTGGCATCAGAGGAGAATTCTAAGGCTGCCACCAGTTTGACGACATTCTGATGAAGTCCCAAATCCTCTGGAGCTAACCTCTCCTGTAGCTGTGTTAACCAGACTAAAGAAGTTCTATTGCAGAACGAGGCCACCGTAGCGGCACACAATGCCCAGGCAGCAGCCTGGTGTGTTTTGCGAATAACTAGCTCTGCCTTGCAGTCCTCACCCTTCAAACCCTCTGAGATTTCGGATGGAATGAGAGCTGGGGAAGCCAAGGCCGCTATCGGAGGATCGACAGTGGGAAACTGCAAGATGGTGTCTAATTCCGGTGTGGAAGCGTAAAGCTTCCTGTCACCATTGCTAAGAGGCGAGATCATGGTGGGCTGGGACCATTGTTTTTGGATCACGTCCAAAAACAATTTGGCCAATGGAATAGCCTCCTGCTCTTGTACTTGTTCGGCGAACATGTGTTCCGTGGGGTCAAGACCCACTTCGGTGCTGGCCTGGGTGGTTGCTCCCCGCAAATTGGAGATGGTCTTGGCCTTATAAAGTAGGGATTTAAATAGGGCCAGTCTGAAGAGGCCCGAGAAGGGATCAGATCTTCATCATCCGATAACTCTAGATCCAAAATTTCACCTTCCTCCCCCAAAACAGATCCCTCGCTGTAGATGGACAGCAGGGGAGAAGGGGGATCAGCCTTAGAGGTGGCTCCATCTTTGGCAGAAATCAAGTTCCTAGAGCGCTGACTTCTACGCTGTAATTCTGCATCCACTCCCCTAGATATGGCAGTGGCAATCATGTCCCTGAACCCAGGGGAGAGGTCAAATTCTGAATTGTCCTCCGGTCTGCTGCCAGAGGCAGTAGGGGTAAAGGTGGCTGGGGCCCCTGATCGGGAAGGAGCCGGGCCTAGGCTGGACTCAGAAGGATCAGATGAGCCCTGAAAGCCTGTGTCAGGTCCTTCAGTGGTTAAGTCCTGAGGGATAGGGAGGTCTGGGGACCAGCCCTGAATCCCAGTTAAGCTGGAGGTAGAAAGCCCCTCAGGCAGCAAGATGGGAGGTGGCCTGGGGGTTGAGAGATTCTTAGACACATTCTTAGTTTTACTGGCGCGCTTAGTGGCCCTGGCAGGAGCCGCTAAAGTGGTACGGGATCTGTGGCTGGCAGCCCTGGTGGTAGTTCTACCCACTCTGGCTGAGGCCCCAGTGGCATCGGAGGACAACTGAGGAGAGGTGGAAGTCCCAACGCTGTCCCCGGTAGTAGAACGATCCACCATGCCAAACTAGGTTGAAAGTGCTCAAGCTCACGTTCAATGATAGACCAAATGCCAATCGCAATTGAAGCAGGAGGCCGCAAGAGATCAAGCGTGTGCTCTGGTAGAATGGTGACGAACCGACCTCCGTGGAGCAAGAAAGCTGGTAATTTTACGTCACTGTGGCGGGAAAATGAAACTGCGCCCAGACTATTTTTCAGCGTGAAATTGACTCCAAAATGGCCACCACGACTAACAGCGATGGCGGGAAATTCAAATTTGCCAGGAAAAATGGCCGCCGTCAGAATGGAGAAAGCCAGCCTCCTAATTTAACAGCAACCGCGGCTTTCAGAGGCACTCGATGGCCGAGGTGAAGATAGCAAACCCAGCTATATGATGACAGGGCATCCAGATTCCACGTGTCACAAGGCAAACCTCGGGAAAACAGCGGACAGCGGGTAGACAAATGAAGGCGGCGAACCGACCCTCCAACAAATATCGGCGAAGCGACTCTGCTTCCAAGGAAAAAGGTTCACTGGCCCCAAAGGCTCCAGGAACGCTAACATCCAATTGCTACCTTAAACAAAAGGAAACGAACCTATATGCAGAGTTATCTGATGCTCCATGGAAAGAGCTCAAGCTGTTACACAAACAGAGTTCTAAGGGAATCCAAGCTGAATAATAATAATGATTAATTTAGTCTAATAACCTAGAGAGAAATGTTTTTGCGTCTCTTTAGGCTGGACTGAGTTAAAAAAAACTGAACCAGTCCAGTCAGAGGAGGCGTGGCCAACAATTTGCATAACTCAGTCTCTAGGCTAATGGACAAAGTTAACCCATGCTTGGATTCCCCAAGCAGCACACAGGAGAATGGAATAAAATACAATTTAAAATGCAATTGGAATAAAATACAATCTAAAATGAAATTGGAATAGAATACAATAATTTAAGTTATAGATAAAATTAGCTGGATACCTGTGCTCCGCTACAAAACTATGTGATCGGATTTGATAAATCAACACAGCTTGAAAAGTTTTGAGTAGCTATGATTGGCCTCTCCTCTCCTCTTCTCTCCCTCAGGCTGGCCCCATTGATCCTCTCCTATCCCCTTCTCTCCCTCAGGCTTACCCCACAGAGGCCTCTATTCTACTCTCCCCCTTCTCTCCCTTTAATGTGGGGAGGGGGAGTAGAACGTCTAAACTCCCAGTTCACAGGCCGGATAAGTCACGTGCTGGCCACCCCCATGTGGCAGTTGGAACAGAGTTCTTTTCAGGTGGGGAGGGGGAGTAGAACGTCTCATTCCTTAGCACCAGAGTATGTTAATAATAATACAAGAAATACTAATGATCTGATGGTCATTTTGAAAAATCCTTTCTTAGCAAACATCGAGAAGCCAAGAAGAATATATGTACCAAATTTCAAGTTTGTAGGCTTTATAGTTCTGGAGATTTTGTGATGATGCGTGAGTGATATTTATATATATAGATATGATAAAATTATATTTGGGTGTCATGAGAAATCAAGAGAGCAGCCTTTGCCATCCCAAGGTGTTCTGGGCTACAACTCTCACCAGAACTACCCTGGGTGGGTTTGAGAGCATGATTTTAACTCATCAGAGAGTGGGAAAAACTCAGATAGGGGAAAAGAAAGTTGACACTTGCCGTGGGTGCACACAGTAGCAGATTCATGTCTGTCTCGAGCGCAGCGCGATAGAGTTTGCTCTGAATCCTGTTCAGGGTTTTGAACCCTTCAAATCCAGCCTGAGCATATTTTGGGAGCTTCTCCACAGGAACAAGTTGCTGAGGAAGATGACAAAGGAAGAACAGATGTGACCATGATGCCAAAACAGAGGCCAGCATTCCTAGTAACGCACCCATTGAAAGCAGAATTCCGAGGCAGGTAGAATTCCTCAAAGAACAGGTTTCTTAGATACATCATGTCGGCACAGCCAGTGAAAACCGACTCTGAAAGTTCCCACGGTTTTCACCAAATTAAAAAAATTAAAAGTTGCCCCTCCCCCAATGTCACCAGTCACATTGTCCAATGAAGGTGCTGGCAGGTTGCTTGGTCATTTCTCCCGTCCTCTCCCACCCACCTGTTAATATTGTTAGCAAGACCCCACCTAGAGTACAGTATCCAGTTTTGGTCACCACACTCTAAAAAAAAAAGATGTTGAATGCAGAGAAGAGCAATCAGGATGATGAGGGGACTGGAGGCTAAAAATATACGATGAACAGTTGCTGGACCTGGGCCTGGCTAGTCTAGTGAAGAGAAGGACCAGGAGAGACAGGAGAGCATCTTCCAATGTTTGAGGAGCTGCCAAAGAGAGGGGGGGGGGTCAAGCTATTTTCTAAAGCAGTGTTTTTCAACCTTTTTTGTGCAAAGGCACACTTTTTTCATGAAAAAAATCACGAGGCACACCACTATAGAAAATGTTAAAAAAAATTAACTCTGTGCCTATATTGACTATATATAAAGTGTTTTTCCCACGGCACACCTTACACTATGTCACGGCACACTAGTGTGCCGCGGCACAGTGGTTGAAAAACACTGTTCTAAAGCACCTGAAGGAGCAATGGANCCTTGGACTTTGATTTACTTTTGGATGCCATTTGGAACCCTGACACAATGATGGGCAATTGGTACCAGCTCTCGTACTTAAAAGGGTCACAACATCCCCACAGTCATCTGACTACCAATTTCAACTTCCTTTACCAGCCTTCTACAAGCAAAGTTGATGCAGAAGTTGGCAATAGGTTGCAAAGGGTGAAAGGAATGGGACAGTTGGCCAGGCCAACTCACTGTGAGACAACTGGCCATGGCCAACACACCACTGGACAACCTAACAATTCAATTTAATTTTCAAAGTAAACATTATTTTTTGCCATTTCATTCAGTCCCTCCTTTTGCTTCCTTTAATGATTCTATTCCACCATTTCTTTGACATTAGTGTAACTATTGCCACACAGTCTATTGACCCGTGGCGAGTTGGTCATCCTATGCAGGATTGTCAATTGCCAACATGGTATTTCAAAGCCTGACACCTTTTCCAAAAGGTCATTTATCTGTCTTCCTAAGTCTGGACATTTAGTGAAACCATTTGGCTTTCCCCTGGGAATTGATGCCAAAGTTGTTGGGCAGATGTTGTGCAGGGGCCATTGGGGGGCAACAGCGCATTGGATGGCTGTTAAGACTTAGCACAATTGGTAGGCCTCCCACGGTCCCAGCTGTGCTCCACTCGTGTGCATGTTTTCCACGAACTCAGAATCAACTTCTTACCTTTCCAAAGCTGCCCACCATCTCCTGCACCAGGGACCTCATAGGTGCGATGTAGATAATTTTGAAGTCATCAATGTTGATCGTCCCGTCCAGATTGATGTGCTTTCCAATCTCCCGCAGCATGCACATCAAAGCCACGTTGGTCTTCCCGGCACCCTGGATTATGAGAGAGGGTCAGAGAGCAGCAAATCCTCATTCCCTCTGTGACACCCCCCTCTAAAACCCCTGCCCCATAGAACACACAGACAACTTTCCAAGGAGAAGACAAGAGATTCAGGATTCTTTTATTGATTGATTAGCCCTTGGGCCATATCAAAGTGCAAAGTTCCGGAAACAAATTATTAACTAAAATTTGATAAAAGCAACTTAAAATGGAATTGACCGTTCACTTACCTGAACGGTCCTTTTATGTGCGCTGCGAGGTGAATCCAAGCATGGGTTAACTTTGTCCATTAGCCTAGAAACTGAGATATGCAAATTGATGGCCACGCCTCCTCTGACTGGACTGGTTCAGTTTTGTGCAAAGTTTCAGCAGATTCGAGAGATGCAAAAGGAAGTCTAGAAATCAAGGCAAGTCAGGATGTAATCGGAGAAAGGTAGGTCCAGGGGCAGAACAGCCGAAGCCGAGGGCGGGTTTGGATTTCCCTCGCAGCGAACATAGAAGGACTGTTCAGGTAAGTCAATGGTCATTCTCCTATGCGCTGTTTGGAGAATCCAAGCATGAGACATGCCAAAGCAATAGACTTCAGGGGCGGGAGCGAGGCTGGTCTGGTGCCGTAGCCGAAGAAGCTACCCTTTGCAGCATGCACTGTCCAAACGAGGCATAAACGTCCACCTTGTATTGACGGATAAAGGGTGACGGCGATGACCAGGTCGCTGCCCTGCAGATGTCCTCTTCCGAGGCTTGCATTGCCCAGGCTGCCATCATGACAGCACTTCTGGTGGAAGGGGGAGTGATGCGACTGGGAACCAGTCGGGACTGACAGTCGTAGGCGAGGGCAATACACGCCTTCAGCCAGCAGCCGATAGCATGAGATGATGCCTTCTGGCTCATGGTGGCTGGTTGGAAAGACACGAACAGGGCCTCCGTCCTTCTGAACAATGCCGTGCGTCACACGTAGCGGCAAAGTGAACGACAGACGTCAAGGTGATGCCAAAGCCATTCCCGGAGGTGAGATGGATATGGGCAGAAATCCGGGAGAGTGATCTCTTATGACCTGTGGAACCACGAGTTGACTTTTGGAAGAAAGGTTGGGTCCAAACGTAAGATGACTCTGTTCGGATGAAAGATGCATAGGTCATCCTGGACGGAGAGCGCTGCCAACTCAGACACATGTCTGGCCAATGTGATGGCTACTAAAAAGATAGTCTTTAAGAGTCAGTAACCTGAGGGAGATGGTCCGAATAGGTTCGAAAGGAGCAGCAGTGAGGGCCTTGAGCACCAGGGAGAGGTCCCAGTGGGGTAGCAATGAATGATGGGCGGACTAAGGTTCGCCGCTCCCTTCAGGAAGGCCCGCACCCCTGGGTGTTGTGATAGGGGGTGGCCCCACCACCAATCACGGTAGACAGAGCCGCAATTTGATGGCAGAGGGTGTTAGGTGTTAGCCCTTTGTCCATGCCCATCTGTAGGAAGTCTAATATCTGCAGTATAGTTGCCTCGGTTGGGTCCGGACCTGTTGCTCGACACCAACTGCAGAAAGTGCGCCAGGTAGCCTCATAGATGCGGGTTGTTGACGGGCGGCAAGCTGCCTGGATCGTGAAGATGACTTTGTCAGAGAAATGCTGTTGACTCAGGATCGCTCGCTCACATGCCACATGGCTAACTGTAATAGCTGTGGATTCAGATGGATGAGGGCTTCTTGTGAGAGGGATATCCGGTCGTCCGGAATTTTCCATGGGCGTGAGATTGACAGATGGATGAGGTCGGCATACCAGGGACATCGGGCCACATCGGTGCAACCAGTAGTACCTCTGCCCGTTCAGCTAGAACCTTCTGGATGACCAGCGGTAGAATTGGTAGGGGCGGGAAGATATAAAGGAGGCCCTCTGGCCAAGGGCTTCGGAGAGCGTCCAAATTGCTGAATTGTTTCCACTCCTGGCACCTGGAACCTGGTGTAGAATCGCAGCAAGTGTGTGTTGTCAGGTTGAGCGAACAGGTCCACCTGTGGTTGCCCGAAGCGGCAGGAAAGCTCTTGGAACAGGGCTGGGTGTAACCACCACTCCACCTGATCCACCATGGCCCTGCTTAACCAATCCGCTTGGACGTTTGCAGTGCCCGATATATGTTCTGCTCGGACTGACAAGATGGTTCTCCACCCAGTACTGCAGACGTTCTGCTTCCATCATCAGAGATTTGGATCGCATGCCCCCCTGGCGATTGACATGCGCCTGAGGCCACGTTGTCGGTGAGTATCAGCACGATTGGATGTCATCAGATCTCAAAACTCGCGGAGGGCTAGGCGGATAGCACTTAGCTCCAGCCAATTGATGCTGTTCCTCAGCTCCCAGGTGGTCCAACGACCTTGAGCCACTCAATCCAGGGCGTGGGCTCCCCACCTGAATTGGCTCGCAACTGTTGTAACTATGATCCGCTCCGGTTCCTTGAACAGGCATCCCTTGAGGATGCGGGCCGACATCCACCAAGGGACACTTGGTCGATAAGTGAGTCCTGGTCTGAGAGTGACTGGTATGAGCCCTTTGAAAGGGGAGGAGAAATCACTGAAGTGGTTGTGCGTGGAACCTCGCCCAAGGGACAATGTCTATGCAAGATATCATCTTCCCTAGAAGTTGGGACAACACAGCGAGGGAAGGTGACCTCTGATTGAGCACTTGCCTCACCAGGAACCGCAGGCTCTGTTGGAGAGAGAGAGAGAGAGAACACACGTTTCTGAATTGATGACCGTCCCGAGATGCAGAAGAGACGTGGTCGGGTGCAGGTGGCTCTTTGGGAAGCCGTGATCTTGCAAGGGGTCGATCATCAGCTGTAGATCACGATAAGCTTGGTCCCGGAAAGACAATAAGACCATGATGTCGTCTAGATAACAATTGACTCTTACTGAAACTGACCTCAGCGAGGCTGCAATCACTGCTAGCAATTTGGTGAAGGTATGCGGGGGCGATGATAGGCCGAATGGCAGGGTGCGGTACTGGAAATGACGCCCTGCAAAGTGGAAGCACAGGAACCTTCGATGGGCTGGATGTATCGGCACGTGTAGGTATGCCTCCTTGATGTCTATGGAAGTGAGGAGATCGCCTTGGCGAATGCTTTTGAACAGTTGCATTTTGAATTTTTGGTACTTTAGATAGAAGTTGAGCCATTTCAAGTCTAGGATGGCCCGCCATCCTCCCGAGCTCTTGGGAACTAGGAAGAGTATGGAGTAAAATCCTAGACCCTCCTGCCCTCATAGCACCTGTTCTATGGCATTGATGGAAATGAAATGCTG